AAGGTAGAAGTAGTTAGAGTTGTTCTTGTGGGGTCTTTTATGACATTGTTAAGGTCAAAGCTGCCAAGGATTCTGAGCACTCTTCTCCCTTCATAGTCCTTGGCAATCAAGTCAGAGTTCAGGTCACCAAGGATCACTACACACACCTCGCACAGTGTTCAAGCAGACTGTGAAATTTGTTGTAGAAGGTGTAATCATCCGGGGGTCTGTATACACAGCCAAGTAGTAGCTTCTGAGCGTTCACAGTGACATCAATCCAGATTGCTTCAATGTCTGATTTGAGATCGTCTCTCTCGTATACGTGCAAGCATTCTGAGTAATATATTATGCAGCCACCGCCTTGTTGATCCTTCCTGTCCAGCCTAGCGACTTGGTATCCAGTTATCGTGACTTCCTCAGTGGGTGTTTCATCGTCCAAATGAGTTTCTGTGATTGCAAGGATGTCGAGTTTACTCTCTGATAACATTAATTTGATCTCGCTGATTTTCCTAATCAGGCTTCTGACGTTAAGATGTGCAATCTTTAAACCATGGCCTTTGAGTTTGGTGTATAGGTCCCTGTTTGTTGAGGTTTGCTGAATTGTCCGGCTCCGCAGGGACAGCTTCATCTGTCGGAATTGGTACTTCGGCAAAAGGTAAAACAGATAGAAGACATGCCGGGAAGATCCGATTAAATTGATCTTTTTGCTGGAGGTGTTTATACTGGCTCGGTTTCAATCGACCACATTTCATGTGGCACCAAAGTTCGCATTGATCGCAGCTCAAGGCTCGGTGATTTCTAGCAACGTTCTTTATGCAAACAGAACACCTTGAGGAGTTTATTGTCGGACCAGGATTAAGTGAGACATCACCACTTGTGAGGAGACGAGCTTGATGGAAAGTACAATCCGAATTAGCNTTGTTCTTGTGGGGTCTTTTACGACATTGTTAAGGTCAAAGCTGCCAAGGATTCTAAGCAGTCTTCTCCCTTCATAGTCCTTGGCAATCAAGTCATAGTTCAGGTCACCAAGGATCACTACATTTTTTCTGTTCCTCGCACAGTGTTCAAGCAGACTGTGAAATTTGTTGTAGAAGGTGTAATCATCTGGGGGTCTGTATACACAGCCAAGTAGTAGCTTCTGAGAGTTCACAGTGACATCAATCCAGATTGCTTCAATGTCTGATTTGAGATCGTCTCTCTTGTATACGTGCAAGCATTCTGAGTAATATATTATGCAGCCACCGCCTTGTTGATCCTTCCTGTGCAGCCTAGCGACTTGGTATCCTGTTAGCGTGACTTCCTCAGTGGGTGTTTCATCGTCCAAATGAGTTTCTGTGATTGCAAGGATGTCGAATTTACTCTCTGTTAACATTAATTTGATCTCGCTGATTTTCCTAATCAGGCTTCTGACATTAAGATGTGCAATCTTTAAACCATGGCCTTTGAGTTTGGTGTATAGGTCCCTGTAAGGACTTGGGGTGTTTCGATCCGTTCCCTGATTGTTGAGGTTTGCTGAATTGTTCGGCTCCGCATGGACAGAGTCTCGAGACAAGTCTTGTTTCTCTTGAGATGCATCTCATTTCTCTTGAGACGTGTCTCATTTCATTCAAGTCTTTTCTAGTTTCTTCTGAGTGTACTGTAAGTACTAATGGTTTGCATTGTGGTAACATTTTTTTTGTAGTAACATACAATGCCAGTGTTCAAATAAAATGATGCAACTGTTGAGCATTACAAATTGCACCTCCAAATCGCTTTGAAGGTTGATTTACACATGTGGTGAGATTAAGACATGATCATCGTTCGATTTGTTTATTTGCAATGGCAAAACTTAAAATTGTAAAGCCAGACTTCTTAAACATCAGTACCACTGCAGATGTAAATAAAACACTACGAAAGTTGGCAATCGACATCTAAATTGGCAGCACACTTGTGTTTATTTGTCTGTATTCGTTTCTTCTACTTTTGCCACACAAAAATCGATGAATGAGGCACAAAAAGAGAACAGAGTAGCAAGTTGCAGTGATCCTACTGAATAGTGCATGCATTGCAGCTCCACCTTTCCGCTTCAATAAATTCTTCTATTACTCTGAAAATTTATAGCTTACTTCTGCTGCCACAATACAGTTGACCCTCCTGTAAGCGACCACCAAAGTGTCAAGCCTAGGTGGTCACTAAAGGAAGGTGGTCGCTTATGAGAGCTTGGACCATATTGGGTCAAAATTGTGCTTCATTAACATATGGTAACTGCAGAGATTTACCCCACGTGCCAATGCTCATCTAACCCATGTAATAACTTTAAGTGGCCAAAAAATATTTAAAGTGCCTATGAAGTAAAAATAATTGCTGCTTATTTGAAAGACTTTTCAAATTAAAGAAGAAAGGCATTTTCCTTTTTGGAATATCTTTTTTTCGTTTTTGAGATATTAACGTTTTTGTATTATGCAAATGCGAAAAGTGATGACATGATAGGTGGTTCCACTAAAACAGCACAACACTCAATCAAGAATATCTCTAGAAATATTAAAGCAGTGTTCTTTAAACTTGGCACGAGAAATGTACATCACAAAAGAAACAAAATGTTGCCCGTCGTGTCATTGCCATGACAACAGTTATGCCGCTGTTCCTGTTTTAATTAAGACTAAAATTTCCAGATTTTATCTTAAACAAGGATCATCCACTCTCAGTTAAGACAATATGGAACCATGTGTGTCCCAAGCAAGACCCTCTGTCCCACTGTAAAAGGTTGCAAACGGTGATATTTGATTTTTCTCAGAAAGAGACTGGAGCCAAGAGTGTTGCCATGGCAACAACATAGTAGGTGTCATTCTGTTTTTTTTGTGATGAACATTTCTGGTGCCACGTTTGACGAACACTGCTGCAATATTTCTGGAGATATTCTTTATTCAGTATTTTACTGCTAAAGTGGAACTATTTATGACGTTGACCATCACTTTCCTCATTTGCATAATACAAAAACATGAATATCTCCAAAATGAAAAAAGATATTCCAAAAAGGAAAATGCCACTCTTCTTTACTTTGAAAAGCCTTTCAAATAAGTAGCAATTATTTTTTACTTCATAGGCACTTTAATAAGCTCTCCAAAGTATTTTATTCAGAGTATCACTCTGTTAAACTACCTAATAAGACAAACAGTGCAAGTCTCACAATAGTTATAAATTG